GAAAATGTGTCATGGCATTTTCTCTGTTGAGGGATGATTCCCCCTGTTGCTGTTTTAGTTATGATTGAATCTTTTCAGAATCTTGAATTTGGCTTGTAGATTGAAACAATTGAAGGTTACTTGCTCGAATAGAATCTTGCTTTCAGAGTTTATGTTCTGGTAGTACTGCTGATGATAGCAACAACAGCAGCAGCAACAATAACAGTCAGACTTCCTAATTTGATCTTTGCAAAGTGTCAGATGAGACCAGGACTCTTACAATTAATGAAAGGCAACTTCTTAGCCAAATTTAATTTTTCTTCTGTCCCGTGGTTGTCATTTAACAGTATGGGGAGCAGAGGAGGACCTCAGAAGCAGATTAGGTGGAATTCAGAGAAAGTCTTAGCTCACATTTTCTAAGCCACAGAAACAGGATTTATTGCCTTTTAAAAGCTCTGCTCTTAGCTATTGCTACTGAAGACCTTGGGATGGTTCAAATATTTATCAGTCTTGGAAAGCAAGTGGTTATTTCTTCTTCTGGAGAGTTCCTTCTGAAAAGCTGGATGATTACTTTAAAGGTCAGATCAACCTATTGCGAACTCAATTAGTTGTCAAGTTCATATCTTCATTCCAGTACTGCTTCCTCCTCTCAGTTTCTCAAAGAAAAAAGAAGGAAGGGATCATTGCTGGGAAAAATCGCTTGGAGGTTTTGTGGTTTGGAGGAGCAGTACATTGCTGAAGAGCTATGGAGAGCTGGTTGCTCCCAGTTGCTGCTTTTTTCCTTTGGCCAAGTTTCTCTTCTCAAGGGGTTACTAAGGGAAATGGTTTCTGCTGCATTCATTAAAGGAACAGTTATATTGTATCAGGATTAATGCATTCCATTTAAAAAAAAATTTTCTCTGTAAATGTGTGGCTTTCTGGCAATTTGTAATGGCAGATTCTTCAACAGTATCATAGATGTACAATTCCAAATTCCTCATCAAATATAAGATTATTCACCAACCGATTTGTGAATGGCAAAATACTTTACATTAGCATTGTACATTCATACCAAACCTGTGTGACTTTGCTTCACTTAACTTAAAAAAAAATCCTACAGTTCATCAAATATAAGATTATTCACCAACCGATTTGTGAATGGCAAAATACTTTACATTAGCATTGTACATTCATACCAAACCTGTGTGACTTTGCTTCACTTAACTAAGGAACTAGGTATCATAGTATCCAAGTGGTTACTATATGCTACCTCAGTAATGCTATCTAAAATTGATGCAAATTTTTGCTCTGTGATATCATGGAAATATTTGTTTTTAAAGTTTTCTTTAAAAAAAAATCCTACAGTTGTAAAAGTTAAATATTTATTTTATCATTTGAACTATTCAT